ACTTGGGGGTCATTGTAGACCACAGACTGAATAATAGCTTGCAGTGTCAGGCTGCTGTAAACAAAGCGAGTAGGGTCCTGTCCTGTATTAAGAGGGGAACGTTATGCAGGGACAAGTCTTTAATTGTGCCACTTATTAGATCACTGGTTCAGCCTCATCTGGAGTATGCGGTCCAGTTTTGGGCACCAGTGAACAGGAAGGATGTCCTCGAAATGGAAAGAGTCCAGAGGAGGGCAACCAAACTCATAATGGGGATGCAGTACCTGAGCTATGAGAACAGCCTACTAAATGTAAACATGTTCTCATTGGAAGTAAGGAGATTAAGGGGGGGACATGATTTTCATGTACAAAATGTTCACCGGGGATGGCGACATTAGCAGCAAACTTTTTACAATTAACTCCATGACAAGGACGAGAGGCCACTACCTAAAATTGGTGGAGAAAACATTTCAGCACAAGGGGCGCAGGGGTTTCTTCTCAGTTAGATCAGTCAGGGTCTGGAACTCTCTGCCACATGCTGTGATTTCGGCTGAGAGTGTGGAATCATTCTAGAGGCGATTGGACGATTTCCTCAGAGACCGTAATATACAAGGCTACAAGTACCGTTAAAAATTACAATACACAGGAACCCATACATACACATACACACAATAGGTTGTACTCGATGGACATGTGTCTTTATTCAACCTCAAATACTATGTAACTATGTATATTACTGACGTGGAAGAATAACACAGCAAAAATGTGAACAGTGCGTCAGTCATTTACAAACAGAAACTAAAATCAAGCTCAGTCATGAAGGGGTTAACTCCTCTTAGGTGATGGGCAAATCTGTGTTCAATTCACTGAGGGTTCAGAGAATCTGCGTAAAAATGTGGCAAACCCAAAATTTGTTGAAATTACGAATTACATTATTTTTTTGCTAATAGACTTTGATGCTTCCAGGATGACAAGGAAAAAAAACACCAATCCTTTAAATTACATATCAGGGGAATACCAAAAAGCTGTATGTGGTGTCATGAAACAATATGTCGATTTTGAAAAATGTACTTTTAGCTTGGCTTACATACAACAGCAGCACCCTAATCTAATGCATTTAAACTTTTTTTAGGCAGGTTTAATTGAGACTCCTGCTTTTTAATCACGTGGTAATCGGCCTAAATTGACCAATGAAAGTAGCAAGCCATGACATATCTAAAAGCTATAGAAAGGTTTCCTCCTAAAAATAAAACTAAAGCACTCAATGTCTTACAATTTGGCCAGTGGTACAACAGTTTGAGAGTATCACACAGCAAAGTCAAAACACAAAAAGAACATTTAAAGATCACAAACCCACATTACCACACCCCTTCCCATCCCTGTATCCCCATTTATTTCCAATAATCAAAATAATAGGCATCAGGTATGTTTTTACTTAAAAATGGCCACCATCAGAACAGTACTCAAACACTTGAATAGGCAGAAAGTAGAGAGGAACAATGAAGATTTTAACTTGCAATTAAAATTAGTGTGAGAGACAACTTTAAGAGGGAAAGAAGAACCAGGTTTTATCCTAAAACAAATGCATGGGAAGCATGTTGGCAGCTTGGTTGAGCCGCAAATAAAAAAGGGGAGGCCAGGCAGTTTTATCTTGAAATAGAAATTAGAGTGTAGATAATAGCCAAATATATTTTTGAGGGGTAGTATAGAATCAGAGAACTAGAAAAGGCTGCAAACCTTGAGAGACATTAAAGGATTTACCTTGCAGCACACATTAACATTTTGCAGCTGAAGTTAAGCTGCAGAAATATTGTGTGGCAGCTTTAAAGTGTCTGAGCAATGGAAAAGCCTGCAAACTTTGAGACACATTGCAGGATTTACTGTGCAGCAAACATTCAAAATGATTCAGCTGAGGTTGAACAGTGGAAACATTGTGTGGCATCTTTACAGTACCTGAGCATCAAAATAGACCAAAAACATAGGACACATTGCAGGAATTACCCTGCAGCAAGCATCAGAAATTTTGCAGCTGAAGTTACTTATAAACATAAGATAAATCCCTTTCGGGGATCATAGAATTGAAGGCACATTGGTCATTAGAGGGTATACTGCCACCATCAGAAAACATGCTTCATATGTTGTCTATAAAGCCACACAGTGTGTACTCCAGGAGGAACACAAGAGGGATTATGGCTCACCATTTTTGTTGCCTCCTCAAAAAGTGCCAAAATGTTGCAGTTGTCCTGAATGATAAGCCACAGAAACAGTAAAAAGAGCCCAGAGCCTGTCCTCATGCCAGAATCACAGAGGTACTTGTTGATGACATGCTGCTGTTGGTGAGGACAGCCTAGCCAACACTAAGTTCCAGCACATGGGGTTTTCACACCTAATAAGGTTCCCAGTCAGCAAATGTTGGTTCTGCATTTCTGCCAAGCAAGCCATGGCTTAGTATGACTGCCTAAAGTGCCCACAAACCCTCCTGACTTTCCTGGTAAAGTGCAGCCAGTAAGTAACTTTGCCTGGCCTGAAAATGAGGTAGTGTCAGTCACCTCCTGGCTTGGGCCTGCAGCTTTGGCCCAGTGTGGCTCCTGTCCCCCAGTCATATGAGCTGAAACACAGAATGACAGTGTTTAGCCTGGTACTTTTCATATACTCTGGGGCTCTTGGAGGTGGGGGAGGACTGTTGGTTCCAAAGAGTCAGAGGATGAGGCCTGTGAAGATTAGGGAGTACAGATGACGGCACTGCCACCATATGACAAGACACGTGGTGGCACCACCAGCTCTAATGGTGTGCTCCATCCTGCAATTCTTCATATCCACCAGAAGATTCACCCAGTGTGCAATGATGTATAATTAGTGTTGCTGATGCTGACAATGTGGTCCAGCAACAGGCACATGCTGGTGAGTGAAAGAAATGGTCTTCTGGGCAAAATAATGGTCTCTGGGTACTTGCCACTGTGGTGTAGCACAGACCATAAACTCGCAGAATGGGGGTTATTTCACAAGCTTGAATACAAGCAGCTGCAAAACCAGCAGTTTTGTCAATCTGGCATTAAGACATTGGGCATGGAGGTGATTTGGGGATATTTATTCTTCCACTTCAGCACCTGCAGATGAGACACCTGCCTTGTGAAAGATGCATTTGGAGTGGGTGGGAAGGGTATAGGAGAATGTTGCAGGGGTTCAAGCCTTTACCTTACCCTTCTCGGCATGGCCCCATCATCCTCTTACCCACTTGGTATGGCATATCCTAAGCCTATAATCCCCTTGTAAGACTTTTCTACCTGTACCTGGAGGCCACAGATGTTCTGGTGAATGTAACAGGGTAATGCTATGGAGGGGGGAGATCCAGAAAGTGATCAATGAGGAGAAGGTGTGTGGCTGACTTGTCCTGTTGATGAGCTAATCCCACCAAGCTCTGTGGTGCAGAGTCATGTGGTTTCTCAAGAATGTAGTGCTCAAATGGCTGGTATTTTTACCATGGCTGATATGCTGAAGGCTGAGAATACAGACCACAACAGTGCTGTAAGCAGAAAATACATTACAAAAGGCCTACTTTGCAGAGCTGGATCAGAGTGGACCAGCACTGAGTATGGCAGTGTCCTGTACCTGTGGAGCAGTGCTGCCAGATGGATTTGGATGGCTGCTCCTTCCAGTCCTCTGCAAGCTCTTCCTGCCCCTGGACAAAACCCTTTACTCCTCTCCAATCGATGGCACCCATGAATGGTCTGTCACTTCATCATTCACCCCTCCTCCTGAAGACAATTTTACACTAAGCTCCAGCTGCTGGAACATTGTTACCTGCTGATCCCTGTCTGATGTTCCCTGACTACTGTATGGCTGAATCCTCCTCTCCCTCTATGGCCATGGAGCTATCTTCTTCATCCTCAATATGTGAAAGGAGAAACACTTGCACATAACCCAGATAATCCTCTTGAAACAAGTCAGTGTTTGTGTAATCAAATAATTGTGACTCCTCATTGACAGTTTGTCAGGCTATGACTGCATAAACAGGAGATGAGGCATTAGCAGCACTTGCACTCAACTAGCTGCTTTGTGCCTGAGGAGGAGGAAAACAAAGACCATAAATTTGTAGGTACCATGAACCTCACCCTCCCCTCCACCCAAATTTGCTGCAACCCCGCCATGCAGCAAACCGTAACCCTTAAGTAGGCCACTGCTTCCAAACTAGGGTGAATTCCAGCAGTCTGAAAATGTCTGCTGTTACTGGAGGATGAAAGCTGATTCCTAAAAATGGTTTGCTATCAGTCATTTCCTATTAAATAATGTTATCTACTTTTTTTAAGAAGATAGACTAATGAAGATAATTGCCATGTTAGATGCTCTGCTGAAGTTCCTACAAAAAAGTACTTAACTACAGTACTTTTCTGATATACATGAAAAACATTTAAACATTGATATCTAATATAACTGCCTGTTTGTTTTTTAAATATGGGTGTAAAGTAATGGCTGACTTTGTCCTGCATAAGCTTGCTGCCTGAATGTTGTGTTGACTATCTTGCTTCAGTAGTTCCTGAATCACTGACACAGAACCAAACAACACGCATATAGATTAGGAAAATCAAGAGAACATTTTTTAAAATGAAGCCTTTTCTCATTTCTTGAACATGAACACATGTTCACTATTTATCATACTGGAAATGAATAGCAAAAAATGTAAAAAGTAGTTAGATTTCATATGTTCTATGCACATGACTATTATACATCATTCCAAAGTTATAATTTCTAGCAACTTTAAAGATCAGCTTGTAGCCAGTTTATATTTAAAATATTCAACATAATAAGCAATTTTAGCACATTTTATATGTAGGTCAGCCATGACATATGAAAAAGGGAATATGAGGAATATAATGCACAGATGCTTGGCAGGTAAAATTAGTCTTTTACAAGTTCATTACCATATGCAAATATGAGTCATCTTTTTATTCTCATTGTGCAAAGACCTTGAAGTGATATTCCATGAGCACAGAACGTAACATAAGAAAAACTGTGAATCTCACCATATCATGATCGGAAACTGGTCCAAAGCTGGTGACGAAGATGTCTGTGTTCACTTCAGTTACACGCTCTGTTGAAGCAGGAAATGAGGAAGTTCAATATCTACTAACAATCTTCATTAGATCTAAAATAGCCATTTTTCCCACTAATAAGAATAATACATATTGTACATATAAATGTCTATTTATCTATAAAACATTGTCTATTTTAGAGATTATTATAATCCATTTTTCACATTTAAAATGTCATTAAAAAATCGAAATTTAAATGTGGACATCTTTGATTGGAAATTTTTTTAGCAATCTATATTAATGTTAGACATTGAAAGGTTACAGCTTTTGTCCGTAGCTGATCCTAATCCAATGTCAGGAAAAGACTTGCTAGAAATAAAGAAGTTATTTTGAACCCTGATGTACTGGCATAAGGATAAACGTAAAGGGTATCTGTGGTCTATGGTCTATCTATCTATCTATGGTCAAAATCTAAAAATAAACATGTACTTGTGTTTTGAATTTTTATAAGTTCTATCCCACTCATATTAATCATATCTTTTTAGAATGGGGTAGACAAACTCTGGCCCTCCAGGTGTATTGAAACTACAAATCCCATCATGCATATGTCTATGGGAGTCATGCTTGTGGCTGTCGAAGTCTTGCAATGCCTAATGGAATATGTAGTTGCACCTCAGCTGGAGTGTCGGAGTATGCCTACCCCTTATCTAGAAGTTTCAAAATGTATTGCAGTTGCTCATAGGATATACTTCTTCAATGCACTGACATAATTTTACTGAGCCCTGTGAATATGCACTTTCATGTGTTACAACTCTTACAAAGCTTGCCTTCTGAACTACAACTTAACGTCTCAACAATATAACATTATCACTGCTTGCTGGAAGCAATGCATGATGGGATGTGTAATCTTGATAAGTCGAGACTACATTATGGGAGACAGCAGGGAAAGAGATGCAAGGCACACTGGCAATCCATGAAGTTGTTGAACGTGATTTGCAGACAGAATGCAGCATTTACTAGATAAAAGGGTTTTAAGTTAGCTTTGAGTACATTATCAAAAACAACTATAGTATGTATTCCCAGTACAATGCTGATGTTATAAGAGGATAGTATATGCTCCAACTGCTCTTTCAAAACTGGCCCCACCAATTTTACTCGTAATCTGTCACATGTTAAAAGAAAACAAAACAAATAGAACTTTGGGCTTTGCCATTTTGGGCTTTTACAAATGTATTTTTTTTGTCTGGAGTGGGGGTTAGTATAAAATGCTTTTATAATGTTCCCACTCATGTCCACTTCTTATCTGACACATCTAAAATTTCCAACGAGCACTTCCACTTTGTGTTTCCGACTTCTTTTTTATATAATTTCACTGTGGACATTACCAATTAAATAGATTTGTTTTTTATATAGATTTATTTGCAGCAGCATTTGGTAGCATCAACAGGGAAGTCAATGCTGAAGAAAACAGGCTATTCTGCATAGAGTTAACAGCTATTGTGGGTATACATACAAATAGAAACTTTTAAAAATATTCTATCTTTAAAGTGTATGTAAGGGCAAAGGGACTTCTTTTTTAGTTTTAGATTGTGTGTGAAAGAAATAGTCTCTCTTTCTAGTTATTATTGCTGCCTGTCCCTACTAGGGGAGGTTCACCCCTTTAATTGTCCTGGTGACCATTGTCACAGGCAAAAAGTAAAGCTGAGTATACGTCGAACAACTTTAAAGTGACATTAAACCCTCAGATGTTTTTACATAAAACAATACTGTAATACTGTAATGTGTGCCTTACTGTAATCCATGGTTGTTTCCCTTCTCTTTGCTGCTCTTCCTTTTAAATCTGTTCTCATGCTGGTCAGAACTTCTGTTTTGCATCAGACTGCCTTGTCTCTGAAATGGATACATGGTGTCTGTGTGTAGGTTCACAACCTGAGCCAGCACTACAGGAAGAGGCACTCAGCGGCAAAGGGAAGTTCTCCCCAAGCATGAGAAGACATGAGGATTTAAAAGGAAGAGCAACAAAGAGAAGGGAAACTACCATGGATTACAGTAAGGCACAAATTACAGTATTGGTTTATGTTAAAAAATCTGAGGGTTTAATGTCACTTTAACTGAATCTTTAAGCAGTTGAAATTCACTCCGTAGGTGGCCTTATCTGGTAACTCCTGGCTGGCATCCTTCGATTGAAAATTCAGAAGAGCTGAATGTAAAATTGTCAGCCAAACAGGGCCTGTTTAGTGTGGATAAAGGAATCTGCTAGAATTTTTTAAAGAGCCTAAAAAAAAATCTAACATTGTACACCTAGGTTAAGGGAAAACCTCCGTGTTTGGGATCACTGTGAGGGGATTTCTTCTTTTCTTGTTGCGCCTTCTGGATAGGAAGTGAAGAGAAATCTCCCTAGCAGGACACAGACAGCCAAAAAAAAAAAACCCTGACCAGGGATTTAACAAAAAACAAACAAAAAAACTTCAAAAGGAAACTTGTACAGAGATAATCTATTTAGTCTGACATGGATGTACCCCCCTGGGCGGAGTGTGACTCTGTCATATTGTGGGACAGCCAATGAGAGACACTGTAGTGTATGTACAGTACGGCAGCCAATCACTGGGTTTCTCTCAACCAGTGATGCATGCTGGGATAGGGTACATATACTGGTGGGATTTGCCATGTGCTCAGACTAGCCGGGACCAGCCATGGATTAGGGCTGGGTGCTGTTCAGCCTGCCCCCTGGGCTAGGCCTAAGGCCGGCAGGTAGGCATAGGCTGGTGTGAGGGAAATGTTTCCCTGAGACCTCCAACATGGAGGAGGTCTGTATTGCTGTTAGAGGAAGAGGCCCAGGACCAGTGATGGCTCTTGAAGTATCCTGGAATTCAGAGGACTTCAGGAGTATGGCTGGTGTCTTTCCTATTGAGGATCTGTGTTCATCCTTGCTCATCTGCTAGTTCAGTTGCTATCCACTGCCTCCCAAGTGGATCTACACTGAGATGTTAACCAGGTCTGGTGAGTCTGGAGTCTGTGTTTGTTACACCCTGGAAGCTTAGGATCCCTCTACCCTCTCTCCCCAGTGAAGACGTTCAATAAAACGTTATACTGCATTATACTACTGGAGTGGACATCAGTTTGTGGGCACTAGAAGAAGGGCGGTTAATGCTAATGGGTGGGCAGCTGAAGATAATACCCTAGACAGACTAGAGATGAACCGGGCATTCAGCGGCTTTTTCGGGGGTGAGCGCTACACTCTTTTAACACATTAAATATTGTTTTATTTATTTTACCAAAGCTCCTGTAATTCAGCAGCAACTATTTGGCCCTTTTTAAGTTCTATTAATTGCATCATGCTTCTTTGAAAAAGTTGCATATCAAAGTGCTAATTGACACACATTGTTTGCAGCTAAAACATAGTGCTATAACTAGAAGTCAGCCAACACTCAGGATGTGTTGCTAGTTTGCAGTCAACTGTCTCATTTCAGTTATATTTATATTGGTGAAATATTTGCTTCTTTTCAGAGGCGTAACTAGAACCTTCAGGGCCCCAGTGCAAGAAACCATGAAGGCCCCCCCCCCCCCACCCACAGGGGCCT